ACATGAAATAATACAATCCTGGACCTTCTGTATGCTAATGCAAAGGATGCATACAGTGCCACTGCCCTTCCCCCCCCTTGGCAGGTCTGATCACAACCTGATCCTGTTAACACCCAGGTATGTTCCTCTGTTGCAGAGGCTGCCTGTGACCACCAGGACTGTCAGGAGGCTAATGATGCCCTGCAGGACTGCTTTGAGTCAACGGATTGGGATGTGCTGTGTGGACCACATGGGGAGGACATCAACAACATAACATACTGTATCACAGAATATATCAAATTCTGTGAACAAACCACCATTCCATCCCGGACTGTACGCTGCTTCCCCAACAACAAGCCATGGATCACCAGTGACCTGAAAGCTGTTCTTAACAAGAAGAAAGCAGCTTTCAGGTCTGGGGACAGGGACGAGCTCAGGAGAGTCCAGCGCGACTTGAAGGTGAAGCTCAGGGAGTGCAAGGGCACCTACAGGAGGAAGCTGGAGGCCAAACTCCAGCAGAACAACGTGAAGGAGGTGTGGACTGGAATGAAGCAGATAACCGGCTTCAAGGTTGGAGGCAGACAACCAGGGGGCTCCCTGGAGAGGGCCAACGAGCTAAACTCTTTCTTCAATAGGTTTAGCTCGGAGCCCTCATCTGTCTCCTCCACACACCACACCTCCCAAACACCTCCCCCTCTGTGCCTGCGCCATCCAGCTGTCTAATGTCCTTCAACACCTATACAACCTGAGCCTGAAGCAGGAGGAAGTCCCGGTGCTGTGGAAGACGTCGTGCCTGGTTCCCGTACCAAAGAAGACGACCCCATCTGGCCTCAATGACTACCGACCAGTTGCCCTCACATCTCATGTGATGAAGGTGCTGGAGAGGCTGGTCTTGGCCCACCTCCGTCCGCAGGTGAAATCCTCACTGGACCCTCTGCAATTTGCATACCAGCCTCATGTGGGGGTTGGCGACGCCATCATCTACCTGCTGCAACGAGCTCAGTCGCACCTGGATGGATCCGGTGGCTCTGTGAGAATCACTTTCTTTGATTTCTCCAGTGCATTCAACACCATCCAACCAGTGCTGCTGAGTGAGAAGCTGCAGGTGGTGGGGGTTAGCGCATCCACCATCTCCTGGATCACTGACTACCTCACAGGCAGACCACAGTTTGTCCGACTGGGCCGTGTGCTGTCTGATACGGTGGTCAGTGATACTGGAGCCCCACAGGGAACTGTTCTGTCTCCCTTCCTGTTCACCTTGTACACCACTGACTTCCAGTACAACTCAGGGTCATGCCATCTGCAGAAGTTCTCTGATGACTCTGCAGTGGTCGGGTGTATAAGGGACGGACGGGAGGAGGAGTACAGGGCAGTAGTGGGTGACTTTGTAGAGTGGTCTGGTAGAAATCACCTGCGTCTGAACGTGGCCAAGACCAGAAGTGGTCGACTTCAGGAGGAAGACGACGACTCCACAACCGCTGAGAGTTCAGGGAGAGGATGTGGACATGGTGGAGGAGTACAAGTACCTGGGTGTCTCCATCGACGGCAGACTGAACTGGAAGGCCAACATCAACGCTGTGTACAAGAAGGGGATGAGTCGACTCTTTTTCTTGAGGAAACTTCGATCCTTCAACGTGTGCAGCAAGATGTTGGAGATGTTCTACCAGTCTGTTGTGGCCAGTGCACTGTACTTCGCCGTAGTCTGCTGGGGGAGCAGCATTGGAGCCGGAGACGCCAACAGACTTAACAAACTGGTTAAGAAGGCCGGCTCCATCATTGGCTGCAAACAAGACTATCTGGAAGAGGTGGTGGAGAGAAGGACACTGAAGAAACTATTATCCATATTGGATAACCCGGACCACCCTCTCCACTACCTACTGCAGGGACAGCGGAGCACTTTCTCCAATAGACTGATTCAGCTCCGCTGTCACAAGGACCGATACAGGAAAACATTCCTGCCCTCTGCCATTAGACTTTATAATAAATCACCTCTGGCCAAATCAAACACTAGACTGTAACAATGCTACACTGTTGTTGCTGCTGTTGGTGATTTTGTGCACTACTGTTTTGTTTATTTTCTCCTACTTAGTTAATTTAATATGATTCTATTTAGTGTATATACTGTGCATTTTTATTACGTTATTTTCTTAAATTTAATAGGTCCTGCTCTGTTATTTTATTATATTGTATATAGTGTGCATTTTCCATACCTAATATTTCTATTTTATTTTGTAACCCTGTTTGCTGCTGCCACAGACAAATTTCCCCTTGGGGATGAATAAAGTATATTTCTATTCTATTCTATTCTACTTTAAGTACAGCCTCACAGAGCCAATAATGTGGCTGTAGATTCTTACTCTTGTTTAAATGCTATTTCATTTGAGGCTCATACACGAAGAGATTACTGGTGATCAAACCTGACTGACGGTGTATATGTGTTACTTACCAGTTTTATATAAAAGTTTGTGAAATAAACATGTAAAGTTCTATGGATAGTTATAACAAGGCCAAAAATAATATTTTCATCTACATAGCTTCAACTCCTTTGCGTAGCACATTTATTTAGAATGGCATTAGCAAAAAGTTAAAGGGTCTGCCTTTAGTTGTTTCATTGATGCAATATGACTTGTGACAGCCCTTTGCTGTCTGCTGGGATGAGATGAGTCTGAATCATTTCACAAAAAGGCGCTCCCTTCAACAGCGCCTTTAGTTCAACCGAAACAGGGGATTGGTCCACTGCAGCCTGTACAGAGCTGCCCTATGTTCCTCTCCTGGCCCTCTCACCTTCCTGTTGGGTCTCATCTGTCTGTTTGCTCTGTCCCAGTCCAAAGGGAGCACCCATTAAATCACCTATAAAGAGGAGAACAGGACTTGACAGCTACAAACTGGAGCAAAACAATCTTTTCCCAAACCCCCACCTCCACCCCAGCCCCACATCCCCACGCCTGTTCCTATCTGTCCCATATTGTCAGCGGCAGAAGCCGCGAGCGCTGCTGTGGGACAGAGTGCAGTTCTTGTTTACTGATGCACACTATATTGATGTGAGCTGATTCCATCAGGCAACACTTTTGGATGCCACACACCCCGCTGTCTTTCACTGTCTCCCTTCTACTCTTTATGTCTTTACCCCCTAATGTATCTGCCCGACAAGTCCGATTGCATGATAGTCAGTAGAGCTGCAGCCATTGTTGTGACTCTTGATATCTGCATGTGCTTCTGTATAAATGCACTGTGGATTTAAGATATCTTTATTTAGGTCCAATACATTTGTATCCCATGCTGCAATGATGTTATGTTCATTTAATTGTTTTTTATTAATTTGTTTTCTTTCTTTAATGGTCAAAGTCTTTAGATTACATGCAGAAAAATTAATTCCACTCCGCTTGGAGAGGAAATGTGCACTGAAGGAATTTATTTTTCCACCCACTCAGCCGTGTTTTTTTTCTCAAACCAACGGTCAGTTTGGTTTTGTGATCAGCAGAGCGTGTGGAATCGGTTAATGAGCTCGATCACGTTTCAGGCCGCCATGCTGCAAACTGGTTGCGCTGTGCCTCTGTCCATCATGTGTGGTGGTTAGATTTCCTCTCACCACGGCAGGGAGCGATTATAACAAATGGATGAGTTCAAACCATCTGTAAAACATTTGATTAACGCCGCCGAGCCTCTGTCGGGAGAGAGAGAACCCAGAATGGTACTTGATGTGGAATTGCACTAATGACAGTGCCTGAGAAGTAGCCATGCTCGAGGAAAAACATCACAGAATGAGAAATTAGAACCTTGGAGAGACAGACGAGGTTTGCAGCGAGCAGCTCCGGGTGGCCTCTGCATCCATCTCACACATGACTTGATTGGTGCTCCCAGTCATCAGCTCAGCCACGTAGTGCAGCTGTTGAAGCTAATGTGGCATGAAATGAAACAGATGTTTCTTCTGGTGTCTTTCCTCTTCTCCATCTCCTTCAAGATTTTGGGACTTGCCCACTTGTTGTGCACACATGGAAGATTGTGATCCCCAGGGTTGGGTTTAAATCAAATCTTAATACTGTATTAAATCGGAATCCTTTCAGATCTCTCATCAAATTAGGGTTTAATTTTCGACAACTTTTAAATTTAAATAGCTTATTTTATGGATACGTGACTACCTTGAAACTTTTAACAATCTGCTCCCACACCATAGACTGTACATAGTAAATATGTACAGTATATATAAAAGTGGACATTGTTGTCACCTATTGGTTTGTGGACTGTGGTTTTGAAGCTTTGAGTTCATCATTTTGGCTGTCGCCATCTTGTTTTTTTGTAACCAGTGAATAAAAGTGACTATATTTGGACTGCAATAAAGTGACGTAGAGACTCCGTATAAGACTCTGGTAGCGGTAGCAACCTGTCAATCACAAGGTAGTCCCGCCTTAAATCATCCCCCGCTTTATGGTCTGTTTGACTCTAAATGGACCATAATTTACTAAATGAACATCATGCTGTATTGAAGAAGAGTTGAAACTAGAGATTGAGACCATAAACTCATGTTTACAATGTTTACTGAGGTAATAAATCAAGAGAGAAGTAGAGTCACTTTCTCATAGACTTCTATACAACCAGAGGAGTCGCCCCCCTGATGGCCAAGAGAGAAAAAGTAGGCAGGACTAAACTCAAGTGCTCATTTTGTTTACAAACAAGTGTGCACCATTAAAGAAACAGAAAAAAGACTTGGAGTAGAAAAAACGCCTAGGGTCCTGTGGTCTTGAATTCAGTGTGGACTGTTACATTTAGTACAATAGAAGTGTATCTGTTACGTGGAACAGGCGAGTGTCAAAAACACAAAATGCTGTATAAGCAGATTGGCCTTTAAACGTGTCAACGTCCTACAAACTAGTTCACTTCATGCAAACCCCAGTCCATAACTCGCAACGATCCCAGTGCAGGCTGTGGCTATGTAAATGAGTCCAGCTTCATACCAATGGTGTTTTGCCTATAGATAGTGGTTTTACCGAGTAACATTACCAACCTGGCTTTGTCTTTCTCAGGACACAGCGGTGGACCCTGGAGAGGACGTGGCCCTTCTCTCAGTGAGCTTTGAGGATGCTGAGGCCACCCAAGTCTTCCCAAAACTCTACCTCTCCCCCAGCATTGAACAGTAAGCACACCACATATACAATGCATATGTTTTCTGTTGTTCCTATCAGTTAATTCAGTTTTGATGGAGATAGTTTTTTTTGTCACACTACAATATCAAGACAGCAGATTTGATCAAATTTTGGGACCCTAAGAACCTTAAAGTTAAACATTGAGTGCGAATCAACTGGATTTATCCCCATGTAAACTGAGATTATCAACTTTTTCTCTCTATAAAAGGTTGATGTTATGTGCTCAATAGGTGATTTTACCATTTCCATCTAAATGGATTTCATTTTGTGATGATGCTACAATAATTTGTGTACTGTCACTTTGTCCGTGAAATGAGTCTGTCATTAATACCTTTCATTATACAGTCACTACGTATACGTAAAAGCATTGTGTTTATTCATGCAGGATTAATTTTCCTTTAGAACTACGATTCGAAAAATAATCACAAACTATTTTGAAGTAAACACATATTTCACATTTGTCTGACATTTTATGCACCGACCGATTAATCGATTAATCTTGAAAATAGTCTGGAGATGAGTCGATAATGGAAAATAACCGTTAGTCACCCCCGTATTGTCCTTAGATCAGACACATTCCCACAGTGTGAGGGGATGATGAAAAAGTTAGTTGTAGTAACTCACTAGTAAAGAAAAGATACCTTTGGAGCCACAGGGCCCCCACTCGCTCCGCCTCCCATTTCCAGGTTACTTAAGAGGTAGTCGACGGATTAGTGCGATTGTGCTGTGAATCTCGCGCCATGTTATGTCATTGTGAATAATCCCACATCCAGTGTCTGCACTCATCAGTCGGTTCCTCAAAAACAACAAGGGAAGAACAAAAAAAAACGAGATGGATGACACACAGCGTCTGAGCTCGGGATGACTGGATGTCTGCAGACATCTGGGGTGTTAACAGTACAGAGACGGAGTGTGTGTGTGTGTACATGCAGGATTGTATGCAATGCTTTCTGTGAGTCTGTGGGCACTGTGTGAGTGGGTACTTCAGCAGTGTGCATATTCTCTTTGTTCAAATCCACTTTGTTTTTGTCTTGCTAGATTTAGCGTGCGCGTGTATGTGTTTGTGTGCATTTGTCACTTTACATTTGTCTGTGTGTGTCTGCGTGTCTGTGTGTGCAGATAAGTGTGTGTTCAGATCCATGCATGCTCGTGGGTTTTTTTTTTTACATCCCAAATATATGTGTCTGTTTTCATGTGTTTGTGTGCGTGCACCAGTATTTGAATAGGCTCTAACACAACGTCTTTGTGTTTGGTGTGGATGTAGTAAGAGGGTGTGTGCGGGTGTGTGTGTGCGTTTGTATGTGTATGTGTATGTGTGCGTGTGCGTGTGTGTGCGCTTGTGTGTGTGTGTGTGTGAGAGACAGAGCCAGGTATGGGCCCACTCTGACCTCAGGGCCCCACGGTCTGGGCCTTCGTGCTTGGAATAATCTCAGGCTGATGTTTATTTACAAGCACACGCCCCGTCGCACAAGGTTAAGAGACCTCTGCTTCCCCCCACCACACCTCCACTACTACCACTCTTTCTCTTTCTCTCTCTGTTTCTCTCTCTCCCTCTCCCTCTCTCTCTTCTGCTCTCTCTCTCCCATCCTGCCGACATTCCTATTTCATCCTCGTCTCCCATGCTCCTCTGTGGCTCCTCTCTGTTTTGTCCTCCTCCCTTCTTCTATCTCCTGCCATTTTCATCCCATGTTTTTTTTGCAAATTACATATCTCTCTCTCTCTCTCGCTCTCTCTCTCTCTCTCTCTCTCTCATTTACGGTGCATATTCACTTATCTCTTACTCTCCAGCACAAGCGCTAATGCAGATACACACACACACACACACACACACACAGACGCTCCTCCTCTCCCAATGTATAAAGAATAAACTGTGACAGGATCCATGCAGCAACAGCAACAAAATATCCTAATGACACCAACACAGAGGTCACGTGCTTGTCCTACATGATCCTTATTTGTTGTCCTCCCCGTGCTGTGCATGTGTTAGAGCAACACGAGTAAGCAGCGCTATGAGAGAGAGAGAGCTGTATCTCCTTTTGATCTACTAACCTTGATGTAGCACCACCTCCAACATGTTTCATTTTATGTTGTTGTTTTTTTTTAAATGTTTTAAGTGACGGCGTCTCCTTGGAAACATGGCGGAAGCAGAGACCATGAAGTGCAGAGGCACGATTACAGGTTGTGATTTAGAAACAAATTAATTGGACAGCCGTTTGCGTGCTCTTTGTTTTGTGACGATCCATGAAGTCGGGCTCTTGATAAAGCAATTTTTAAAGCTAACGCTTGATAAAGCTAACGCCCGGCTAAATTAAACCATCACGCAGGGTTGTATTTCTGTCCGTCGCAGCCGTTTTTTAATTACACTGTAATTGTTCTTTGGTCAGTCAAAACAGACACAAACCTGCTGGAGATGGCAGATTTAGCTAACGCTAATTAGCTCATTTCATTTATTTTTTTTTTCATAAAAACTGGAAATATTAGTTTTTCTTTTTATCTGATAAAAAATCTAAGTGTTATTGGACAGGTTAATTCTCAAGATAGCCATTAGTTGCAGCCCGAGTATGAAGCTCTGACGACAAAGAACCCATCTTTATGATTTCTGCTGACATTCTTATTTTGGCTCTCGGTGGCTGACGTGTGCAGAGCATTCTTGGTTGCTATGTTCTTAGCGAGGAACGTGCTGTTCTGACGGACACCTCTCTGCACAGAGCATCCACTTGGTTCTAGAGGCTTTCACCCAGAGTGCTGCTGTGGTTGTCGAAAAATTGCTGAAAAGCTGTGTTTTTTCAACCTGTGCGTGAACATTGCATATGTCTGCACGTTTTTATGATGGAGCTGCATGTGTGTGTGAGAGGGAGACTGACCCCTCACCATAACTCCAGACCAGAGTGCCCCCCCCCCCCCCCTCCCCCCGCCAGTTGCATGAGGAGAACAGACAGAAGGAGGCTAAAGGCATGTAGAAGTGGAGAGCAGGAAGCTATGGGGATGGAGAGGGGTGGGGAAGGGGGGCTATAGAACAAACCCTTCCTCATCTAAACCCCTTTAAGAAACATTTTTAATAATGCAGAGGCTTAACCGTGCCGCGCCGAAGCCAAGCTCTCGTTTACCGCCCCTCTTCTCCTGTTGCCTCTTTTGTCTTGCAAGATCTCTGCACATATGCATATCAAGGCCGTGCATGAATATGCTCCGCTTACATGCCTTTTGTGCACCTTTTTTGTCAGCTGTGTGGGAGTGTGTTAATTCATGACCCAGGGCGAAAAAAAAAGAAAAATGTATGTCTTCTTTGCCGTTTTTTGAAAACAAACGCTTGCATGTGTTGCATTTACTGTGGATGTTACTTTATTTAGCATGCGGATGTGTTGGCGCGGATCTGCTCGTCCGTGTCCTCGTCCTCGCTGACCCTCGTTAGTCTTCTGTTCGCGGCCCTGCCCGCCGCCTCTGCGTTGGCTCCAGTGAAGAGGAAAGCCTCGTTTTGTTGCACGTCCTCTCTGCTTTTTGATAGACGGTGACATTCAGGAGCTTCCTGCGTTAACCCGATCTTCCACGAATGTTCACAATATCACATAATGCCAGAATGAAATTCACATCAAGACGGCTTAGGGTATTGTTTAAATCAGCTCTCGTCTTACGAGATGGTGAAAATAGCAGCAGCTGCGGACAGCTCCAGAAATTGGCTCAGCTGTTTTTTTCCGTTGGCACCGCTGGATTGGTGTTGGTACAGGCTGTCGTATGAACTCCATCTATTCAGGGTCCAAATGTTCTGAGGTTCTTTATGTCGGCAGTCTTCCTGTCATTCCAACTCTTACAAAAAAGAAAAATGACAGGAAGGATGATCGATTGTCTTTGCGTTCATCCTCCATCTGTCCACACTATTCTTCCTATACTGCTAGCTTGTCAATGTACAGTGCGTTTTAATTCACTTTTTACCAGTTTTACCCTCACCTTCCCTAATTTGGAATCCTTAGAGCTACAGAGAACTGTTTGCTCCACACACACGCACACACGCACACACACCTTCCTCCCCTGTTGTCAGATCAGGAGGACGAGGGAGAGACGAAAGGAAAACTTTGCTGATTTTACAGCGGCAACGTCTCCCTTGAATGAATTAACCTCAGCCACATTGTTTTGGAAGTAAAAAAAACAACACACATCTCTTCGTATCTCCGTATCGCTGTATGTGTTTACGGTGCAGCCAAACGAAATACTTTTATTTTGGCACCACTGGATTTCAGACTCATATCAACTGCATGTAGTCTCTGTCAAAATCTCCGTCATTTTATCAACCATTTTGTCCATTGCCCTGTCGTTTGTCCGTTCATCCTCCATCCTTTCCTCCCTCCCTCGCTCCCTCATCCTTCACTGCTACCCTGTCTACCTCACTTTTTAAAATTCGTCTTTACCGGTTTTTAAACTCTTGTCTACTCAGTCGTACCTCTGCAACACCCCCCCCCCCCCCCCCCCCC